AAAGCATTAAATTTTTGTAGGTAGGTACATAGATTAGCTTTTCTCACAGATTTACTTAAAATGTATAGAATTGTACAATAGTTATACGCTGATAGCTGATATTTCCTGAATATAGTAAATACAATTTACGCATTATAAAATATTGTAAATTCCTACCTTAATATTGTTAAAGATTACCAAATAAAGTAATAATAATAAAATGTTTTCATAAATTGAGTAGGTACCTCAAAAATTAAAATGGTATTTACCTATTTAAAATATTTGATTAAACCAATTATTAAAAGGCCGTTTCATGCAGAAGCCCTGCACACTATACTGAACTAATTTTCAATGAGCCAACTTTTCCCGCGGAGTATTATACTATGAAATTTATTTCCAGAATTTTTTGGATTACAATGTTAACCGTTTGTGGTTTGTCAGCATGTTATATTGGCAACGAGTTATGGCTCAAGTTCCGTTCCAAACCTACACAACTGGCAGTTAAAGAAACYCATGTGCCTTTGTACGAGTTTCCATTCCCTTCGATTACCATATGTCCAGCAGTTAAGGTCAAGAAGACTAAAGGTCTTGAATACTTTTCAAGGTAATCAAATCATCAATTAYGTATGCGATATACTTATATTGATAAAATCTACTATACCATTAAGGCATTTAACWTCGAAAAACACTCCACCTGTAAAATAGTCATGATATTAATATAATTTTAATAGATATCTTTTATTTTGGGTAAGATCGAATCATACTTATTTTAGTCAAGTTGCACATTTGCACATTTGCACAGTTAAACACTTAAGGTAATAGATGAACTGCACCCTGGTAAAAAAAATAGGTAATGATCGAACTGCACTCGGGTTAAAAACAGGTTTTACGAATTGCAGTCAAGTTGAAAAAGCTTCAACTTATTTCCCTTTTCGCTAACAGGCTTAAGACAAACAATGATTTTAATCATTTACATCGTTAAAAATTATAGCTTATGCATTATATAAATATACATATTGTGAGGTGATGAGTAGTATTTAAAAAAAAAAAAATTCATTAAATAATATATTAATATTAAACATGTAATATATATTATAGTGTATATAAAATTATTATTTTTATTAGTATGCTAATGATTGTATTTTAAGCGGAAAGGGAAGTTAATGTTTTACAAACATTTAAATCAACCTTATTTTTGGAACATTTTTGTTCAACACCCTTTTTTGAACCCGAGTGCAGTTTGACCATTACCTTTTTTTTACCCAAGTACAGTTCTACCGTTTAATTAAGATAAAAAATGTAATTCCACTATTCCAATTTTTTGTAGGTACATAAGTATCGACAACGATACAGTGCGAACTGGATTATTGGACATAATGAGCGCCTTATCGATGATGCAGCAGCCGACATATTTTCGAATAGCAGAATACGTAGATAAATCTAGATACTTGTTGCCCTTATTTAGAAGTATAAACTTGACTGATTTTATGTTGACGACAATGCCAACATGTAATGAACTATTTGGCCGCTGCAAATGGCACGGCGAAATTATATCGTGCTGTGAAGCATTCTCGCTTCAGAGGACTGAAGAAGGATTTTGTTATTCATTCAATTCTCTGACTTCCGAAGCAGGAAAACATTGGTATGGACGAAGATCCAATGAATAATCATGTTATATCCATACGCTGAAATTAAAACTAATATAACYGAGTATCTACTCATAATACGAGTAATATGGTTTGATCAAAATTTAAAACCCACCAATAATTATTATGATAACTAAAAAACAATCACTTTTTTTGGTCTTAATGATGAATTATAATGACATATATCATAATAATCTATCTGTTCTAAATAAAATTAATTCAATTAATARTAAATTGTCTCGAATAAAAAATAATAATAAATACATTCAGTATGGCTTATAATAGGTACTCAAACAAATCTTGTAAATGACTATTAATACGCACACATAAAACATAATGTTATATGCATTCACAGTCCTCTTTCTGAAGTGTTAGAAAACGAAGGCATCGTAGAAGAAGATGAATATATGTATCCTGGCTGTCAACTGAGGAGAAATACCGCCGTAGGTACGGTCACAGGTCTAGAAGTGTTTCTGTACAAAACAAATACGTCCGAATCGTTGGGTCTGGGACAACGTGACATAGATGGCGCTAGGGTACGAACGAAATACAACGCGAAACCTAAATGCTTAAGGCGTTGAAACATTACTTTTGTAATATTATTAACTGACCTTATTATTAATTACACACAGATCATGATCCACGCGTCGTACGAGTTTCCAAACGCGGGAGATGGTATATGGTTGAGGTCTGAACAGGGCCGACGACTGAACATCATGGTTTCGCCGGTGATAACCGTCACCAGTAGTCGGGTAAAAGATCTAAGTGTGTCGACGCGGGGCTGCGTATTTCCGGACGAAAGGGAGTTGTACATCTACCACGTGTACACTCAGAGTTCGTGTCTGATCCAATGCCGCATGGACTTTATATTGTTTACGTGCGGTTGTCACATGTATTTTTTCGTAACACCTAGTAAGTATTTAGTATAGTGAAGTGTAGGCTTAGGCTAGGCTACTTCCGTGGAGGCAACATATTAAATATTATAAACAAATAATATATCACCAAATTAAAACTGCCAGGACCTTGAGTTTTTACGATCTACCAACTGTAGAAAAGGAAGTAATAGGAAATTCTCATCAAAGATTGCTGTTTGATGCGGGCCTTACACTCATTGTCCAAGAGGGTGGAGTAATTTATTAACGTTATTTTTTTATCATTGAATACAGCATATTATGGAATTGGGRGAACTTTCTGTCTATAATAATTTTTGAGTGGATCAATTATTGTAGTATTTATAACTCAGTAATAGGCAACAACTTTAACTTAGTTACAATTTTCTAAAAAAGTATAAAGTGGAAGATGAAAAGTTGAAAGCCTGGAACACATAAACAGTAAATACATTGTTATTATCTATATTAATTCCAATATGCTAATTTTTACTTGACTGTCGATCAGTGCGATAGTGCTTTTTGAAAATGGCAGCGCATGCATGTATCATAATAATATGTGTGTACAGATTATATCTAGGTATAATATATAATTTTTATCTTTTTTAACTGTATTATTTTATTTCAGAAATTAAAGTTTATAAATTAATATTGTTGAAGTTAACACAGAAACTATAATATTTATTTTTTGTATAGATGACGGAAAACCAATGTGTGGTATACCAGATCTACCTTGCATAAGTCAGTTTACTCGTGAGTAAAAATAAATAATTATAAATATATAGTATTATAAGTTATAATTCATAACGTGCAATGTCTTAAAAATTAAATGTTTTATTTTATCGTGATAATAAAAAAGAAAAAAAAATGTGCCTACCTGAAAATGTCACCCGATGTCTTATTGAGGGGAGTATAGGTACTCACTTTGAGTATACGCATTTTAATTATACTCCAATCAATAAGACATCGGGTGACATTTTCAGGTAGGCACATTTTTTTTTCTTTTTTATTATCACGATAAAATAAAACATTTCATAAAATGAAAAATATCCAAACACTAGGAAAGAGTATAGGAAACATATGATACGATAAATATATGATGTACCATATACAGCGATGATATTTAAGTATAGGTGTATATTAATATTAAAATACTCTTAATAAATAGAGAATTTATTGGTTTTAAATCCTATAAAACGGATGGATTTGATCAACTACGTCACCCCATTTTCATATTTACATACATTATATTCTGATGTTTAGAAGTCTTAATCTATACACAATATCATGTATCATAATATTTAATATTTATCTAGGTAGGTACTTAGATTTTTTTATGAAATTTAAGAACTTGTTGCGGTACAATTTTAAGCTTGTTAAGTAGATTAATATTTTTTTTTAATTGTGATGTAGGTATCGAGTTAGTCAAATATATGTTTATTTAGCCAAGTTAAACTATTGCTGTGCCTAACTTTACAATCACATATTTACCTAATACACATTAACTGTTTTTATTTTTAATTATTATTTAATTATTACTCGTTTGTTCTGCAGGTTTTATTAGAATGCTAACTCCGCCTAAAGGTACTCCTGGTTTCGAGGATCGACTTATACGCGATTCGCTTGACTGTTCACAGTGCATACCTACATGTTATGAGACTACACATGAAATCGAAATGGAGTCGTCTCCAGATCAAAGAACTCCTGTTTGGAAGTTGTTCAGTTATTTGGACGTAGCATATGGAAACTTGGGTTCTAAAAAATATCAAAGGGACATAACTTTTGCCTGGACAGATCTTTTGGGTGGGTATATCGACCAACGAATAGTTAATTTACCCGCGTATACGTGATATATTAATATATAATCAGTGCTTTAGTTGGAGCAAAAATAAGAAGAGGGATACAAAATAGTTTTTAAAAAATGAGCATATTTGAAGATTTAAATTTCCCTATTGATTAAAATATAATTATAAGAGGTACTCTAATATGTTTTTTTTAAATAATACAGAAATTTCAAACTTGGTCTTCCCTCAATTCGAGCACTGAATGTATAATACACAGCTGTATATAATCATGTATCCAATTATTTTAATTCAATTATTTATTTACAATGCAGTGGCGCTGGGCGGTGTCGCAAACTTGTTTTTGGGGTTCAGCATATTGAGTGTAGCCGAATTCATTTATTGGACGTTGAAAATATGTATCAACACATTCATTAGACTGTGCAAATAGCTAATACCTACCTATGGGTACCATCTTTATATTATATTGTATAAACGCGTATCATTTTAATAATAAATGAATTTAAACGTACCTACATAACTATTAGGTACATGTTGTGAAACGGTTGGTATTTATTTTTAAAACATCCTACTCTTAATTATAATTCTTAATAGAATAAGTTTAACATACCATGCAATGCATAGCTGGTAAGTATCTACCAGTTTCTAGAAATCCGTCAGTTGTATTTTGAATCCAGCGCACGAACATGAATCCCAAACCGGGACCAACATTCTGGAAAAAAGAATTCGCTTGGTCTTATTCGACCGTTGAAAGACTAGCAATAGCCAAGAGCAAACGGCTGGGCAATATTTTCAGAGAATACGCTCGTTACTGTACCGTACATGGCGTCCAATACATATTTAAAGATAATTCCAGTTTGATTGAACGGTTAGATATTATTTAAAATAATTTTATATCGTTTTGACGGTAAAACATACACGCATCATCAGTAACGTCACCACAATAATCACACGCCAACGACAATTTATATACCTATTCGTTATTTCAGGTGCGCTTGGTTAGTCATCGTGTTGACTAGTTTCGTTTGCGCTAGTATTCTGGTACATACCATGTGGCTAAAGTTCAACTCCTCGCCGACGGTTACCGCGGTCAAGGACACACACTTGGCGCTATACTCGCTGCCGTTTCCGGCCGTCAACGTCTGTCCCATGGACAAGATAAAACGTCTGGTGGCCCATAAGTACATGGCTGACAGAATAAACGTKTCGTATCAAGAGTCCGAATTGGATAACTTCCTTAACGCGTTGACCTTATTTCAGCACCCGCTCTACAATAGAATGTTACATTACATAAATAATGGAATAGACGGTTTCTTGACTAAATTAACCACCATAAATATCACAGATTTTATGTTAAACGTAAGTAGGTACTAGTACTAGTTATACTTATACCTATGTATAGATATTGTTCAGTTAGATACGTACTACTTAGGTTACGTAGTATTTAAAATATTGCAATATACAGATTATAATAAAGTACGAGTATATAATATGTACATAACATTGTGTGTTTATATTTTTTCGATAACTGAATATGCTGCAGGTAATGCCGACATGCAACGAAGTGTTCAACGCTTGTTTTTGGATAGGACACTCTTATAATTGTTGCGACTTGTTCAGCTTACAGAGATCTGAGGAGGGTTTTTGCTATTCATTCAACTCACTGACTTCTGTTAAAAAATCGGATTGGTAATGAATTCTTTCGTCGAGCATATTATTTTAAACAAAAATCGATAAAATATATTAATTATCCGGCGAATACTGGATACGTATTTTCAGTCCCATGTTCAGCACCCTGGAGACTGAAAAGGATACGACTTATACTAACTCTACGAATTGGGAATGTGTACTGAGGCGGAACACAGCAGCCGGTTCCACTTCGGGATTGCAAATTTTTTTCAAGAAATTCGATGAATCAGAACGCTTGATAAACGCTTCTATAATTACTGGTCAACCAGCTGTCAGAGTGCGTAAAAAACGACTAAATTATGTTACTCGGTTATTACCTATGTATGTGTATATAATTACTCGATGATTGATAACGAATGGTTATACAGAGTAATATTATTTTTAAGACGGACGTGGATAAATATTATTTCATATAAGTACACGATCGTAGAAATCGTTTGACTTATATTTTTTGCAGGTTCAAGTGTTTTATGTGAACGAGTATCCAGAATCCGGTATGGGCAGCATTGTCACGGCAAAGAAAGGGACTAAACTGAGTATTATGGTAAAACCATTTGTCACTATAAGCACGGATAGAATCAAACATCTCCCCGTGGCAGAGCGGTTTTGTTATTTTCCTGATGAACAACATTTGAGTGTGTCGAGGTCGTACACTCAAAAGTCATGTCTCATAGAATGTCGTTTAAATTATTTACACARAAAATGCGATTGTCGWCCATATTACTTCAAYATGCTCGGTAAGCGAAATGAGAAAAAAACAATTTCATATGATTGCTTAGTATTTTTGAAACCAACCCAATCCAAATCATTATTCACCTAAAACGTTTGTAATATTTATTATAATAGTACCTATATTACAAAGTAAATAGTTGGATAAATGTGTTTTAGATACTAAAGTTTTAATTTTATATTTGAGTACTGATTTCTATAAAAAAAATAAACGTAGGATGTAACTAGATATTTGTCCTCTACAAGGAAAATTTAAAAATCATAGAAATGTTTTTGGATGCAGTGGAAAAATGTATACCTAATGGAATTGTGCTACATTTTATTTATTTTTTATTAACTTTCGTTTTTTTGATTCAAATCGTTACGCAAAATCGGTTAGAAAAAAAGTTGTATTTAGGCCATAAATATACATAATATCATATCTATGTTAAATCTGAAATATACATTTATGTACATTTTTTAAGAATGATTCGTCTGTTGAATAAAATCCATTTAAATTTWAAAAAAAAATCATATTTAATATGAAAAAAAACTTGCCTAGACAAATTTTGGTACCAATATATAAAGAGTTAACCATAGATAAGTACCTACGTATTAAATTATAATTTATAATGTGTAGAAATATGTATTAAATCATAATTTTAAAGTAAAAAGAACTAAGTCAAAAAAATCAGCATCAAGTATGTCTAGTATAAATATAAATAATTTGAAAATTGATAAATATTTTAAATTATTTATTATAATCAGTTGATGCGTAGGTATATATTATTTTTAAGATTTTATATATTTTAATTATTATTGAAATATAACATGTAAAGGTAGGTACTTACTTTTAATGATTAGATAATCGTATACCGATATGCAACTCGACACAGCTTCTATGCATCGCACAGCACAAMAGTGAGTTACGATTCTACAGTCCACCGATAGGCAACATAAGAGGTTTTCTGCTGACGGAGATGAAGTCACCTCTCAACTGTTCCCAGTGCTTGCCCACGTGCCACGAAAGTGTGTTTGATCTGGATATGGATTATTCGTTGGATTCGCTGCCACTGACGAGGAGAAGTTATGGATCTGTGGACATATTCTATAGGAATGAGGGAGCAGTGAAGTATGAGAGGGACGTTACCTTCGGCTGGATCGACTTGTTGGGTATTATTTAATTCATCGAAATCAAAATGGGTGGGTGTTATGGGTATGCGTGGATGAAATGAAGAGCTTACGATTTGTAATGGAATAAAAAAAAAAAAAAAATACACTAACAAATATAGTGATCGATATGGGTAATAATATAGGTATTACAAAATCTCTGTTTATTGGTTCCTATTACCTACAACACTTACCTTCCAATTAGTGGCACCATTCGAGTTTTTGTGTAGACATCTCAACATATTTTAAGCAAGCCAATTTTTTTTCTTATTCYAAGTTAACCAGGTTAATGTCCAAATTAATATTAAGATTCCAACAACTATTATTACTGATTAGTGATTACATTATCATAGGTACCTAATTTATTAATTGTCATGTGTTTATAATTTCTTACTATTCAATACTTATTTAAACTATTAAACTAGTAATCTGTAGCAATAACCGGGATTGAATAATCTTTATGYACAATAGAACCTTGTTTATCCAAACTAATTAGGACCGCACCTAGTTCGAATACGTAAAAGTTTTTATACAATTTAACTTTTTTAAATCAAAAATTATACATTATATATTAGATATTTACTATTATTATTATTATAATATTAGAATTACATTAAGTACTTTAAAATATAAAACCAATAAGTACAAAGGAACAAAAGTTTTTAATATTTTTTCGACAAGATGATAATAAAGCAATACGATTAAAAAGGATATTAAGTAGGTATAACAGAGTTTCTGATAATTTAGGTTCTACTGTATTTAATAATA